CTATATGGCGCGGGACCAGATTATTTGAGGGAACTGTCCAATTACATTTACCCATTCACCAGATCAAGCATGAGAGGTATGCTCTGGGTCCCATCTCCAAAAGAGCTCTGGTAAGACCTAGGTAGCATGCTTTCACTGTTGTGGCTTCTGCCCTCTGGAAGATCATTCCCCCTGAGGAAAGGTCAGCTCTATCTCTGTTAGTCTTCCAGAAGGCCTTAAAATATGGGTTTTCTCTTTGTGGATCCAAGGGACAACCTTTTTGAAACCAATAATTAGCCTGTAATATTCTTCTAGCTGTTGTCTGAAGTCATTGGGAAACTCCAAGGAACCTTTTCAAAATTACCAAATCCCTGTTGAAAAGTGACAACTCACGGGTCATTCCACATATTAACAATTATTTTCATTTTATTGATAGAGAATTGTTATTAATATAGTCATGGTTTTTCCAAGACTGCTCACCAGGAAAAGCAAAGCATTTGCCTGCTACATATTTAGAACTTTGAGAACAGATGCTAGGTGTAAAATTGTTGCCATGATGGGCACCAGAAGTTACACAACCCATTTACAAGAAGAAAATTGATTTCAAGGATCTTCTCTATTGTTCCAGTAGGAATTTTATGGGGCTCAGATAAATAAGATGCTGGAGGTGATAATTTGTTTGCTAATTTTTGCATTCATTTTTTAAAGAATTTAAAATAATTAATATTATAAAAGAAAATCAAATGTATATAGCATGCCACGTCATAAGAGAAGTGACTGGGACATAGTGGAGTTGTTGGATACTGTGTTACCCTGCAATGACCAGGTTTAACTCCTACTTATGTACATAACCTACATACATACCCTACCATATGTACCCATGCTCCTATACTTACCCATGATTCTACCCAGCATACCTTTTTTTTTATCCCTTACTAAAACTGACAAGCTACTTTCTAGGAATCTTGCACTGTCCTTTCTCAAAGTTAAACTCAGGAAAATAGAGTTTAATTTCCAGACTAAAGAAGGCAGCACCTGGTAGATGAATGATTTCCCCCCACCCACCCAACCTCCAAGGTTCCCTGGGGCATCCAGTTGCAATACATGTTTTCTCCATTACAAATATGTATTACTCTGTTTCTCCCCCCCTCCCCCAAATAAAGAGGTTATAAAAGCATTAGAAGGAATGGATCAAGATCAGCTTCATTTAGTATCTAGAAAAGGCAGCCTGCCATTAACTGTAAGTGCTACAAACAGCTGAGGCGTTTCTAGCATGCAGAGACATATTGAAAATGCAAGGATCCCATCAGGAATTACTTCTGAGGTTGGAAAAACCAGAAACATATTTGCTATACATTTCTGCTGTTGTGGCTAAATCTCAGTTTAGCAAGCCGACTAGGAGGACTGCAGTAAAATGTGGTTAAATTACACTTCTACACTTCCACTTAATTAAGAGATTAAGGCCCTGAGCATTTTTCTTTATTGCAAAATAAAGTAGAATGAAACAAGAATAGAGTTAAAATGACTGATTGAGATATGAAGCCTACAATAGTAATTAGACCATTAATAAATCAATTTACAAGAATTGAAACTTACAAATTCATTGACATTCTCCCACTACTGTCAGTATCCAGTTTAATATCCTGAGGTCCTTCAGCTATAGTGGATTATTTCCATCAAAGCTAATGACATGAGATTATGACTCTTGTTGTCCAAAACATCTGGAGAACATCAGGTTGCTTTTTCCAATTTCAAGCTGGTATGGTGATACCTTTTGCAGGCAGCTTCCTGAAAATTTGAAATACTCAAATATACATTGGAATGAAGCATTGTTGTATCTCTAAAGTAGAGGTACTTGAGGAATTTGGACATTCTGGATCTGGAGGTTGGATGAACCTGTTAATGTGATTTTATTAATATGGTCATTACTGTATGAATTTGTTTTGATTGTCCTTAAGCACCGTTATGTTCTTATGGAATTATTTTGTTATTGTTTGTTGTTCTTGTTTGTTATTGGTTTTAAACTTAGACTTAAACTCACCGAATTGGAATTAGCAGAGATATGCAGTTATATAAATCAATATAATAAGTAAAATATTAAATAAATTGATTGAATAAATTATAGTGAATTTTGATAGGATCTGACTTGATCTGTGTGGTATTTTTTTTTGCCTCCATGTATCTACCAGAATTCTGCTTTCATTAAGATTTCATATTGTGTTGCAAAGTATTTTGGCTTAATTAATTGCCAAAACTAAAATATATTTAAAAAGAGGTGTCAAAAAGTTATATTTAAAGATTATGCTTTTTTAAAAAAAATCTAGTTCCCAGTGCAATACCTAGATGGAATAATTGAATTAATGAACATGATTGAAAATGATAGGTTTAGGAAATAGGAGGACCCAACTATTATTTTGCTAAATTGAGTGAAAACAGGACAAGTCTAACTGAAGGAAACATATTAATATTAGTGTGTGAGGTAGCAGCTTGATACAGCCCTCCAAGTTGCAGCCCACAAGACTGGCAATTGCATTCATTTTCCTAATCCCATCATGTTCTACATATTATATTTCATCCATACAATCAGAGTAGACATTAAATAGAATTTATAACACCCTATAGTTATATATTTCCATTTCTGTTCACTTTCTTGATCCTGGGAGAAAAGATAATGTAAATATTCTGTTATTCGTGATGCAGTGGATTTTCTGGATAACTCAAGGATGAGTAACTTGCATTCCATCAGAGGTATCTTTCAGGTTATGGTGAAAAAAGTCAAGATGACAACCACAATGGTATGATCAGAGCTCTTCCCATTTTTAAATAAGCATTGCATGTTGCTTCATTTTGGTTGCCATCTTGACTTTTCACTATAGAAAAGATCTCAAAGAACTAGAAGTGACTCCAGTTTTTTTTGTTCCATGCTATTAGATTCTAGTAACATTTTGCCATTGTAGTTAGGTGGCAAATAATCAACATTTAGCAGTATTTTTGAGCATTCACCGGCGTGTTTTTGAGCATTTATATAAAGGGGGGTGGGAGACCCAAAGTACATGAGCTGAGCTTCTGAGAGCTTTTTTTTTCCTTCAAAGAAAGAAAACGAACACCGAAAAGAGAGTGGGTGAATAGCCTCCTCTAATAATATCATCACATCATTGCTATACATATGCAAGGCAATGGGGAAAAGAACCCATTTAAAGGCATGGTCACCCAAAGGAAAAATCACTTAGTCTTAATTAAGGTGTACTGGAATCATAAAATGCAACTCTTCTGGGATGGATTCCTAGCATCAAGCAGCCCTAGAATAAGTAAATTACTCCTTCAGACTTTTTTTTTGCTTTTTGCTCTACAGTACAAATTCCCCACCCTTCCCCCTCAAACGTGCATCATTTCACATTGCAATGAAAGCCAAGCCAGACTTCTGGGAAGAATGACTGAAATCTGTTCCATTTCTGAAATGACAGGATAGAACTTTGTGTTTTTAATGCAACTTCTTCCTCTCCTCTCCTTATCCTCTTCTCCCTGAAGGAGGAATGGAGATGGAGACAGCAAAACCATTGGGACAGCATTAATGCATCCAATGCAGTCATGCAGAGCAGGAAAACCATTGAAACATGACAAGGTCACAGTAGTGTTTGCAGACTTTTTTTACACATTGCTGAAAGAAACAAGTGCCCATTTTTTGGGCAAAGTCTAGACAAAAAGTCTGTGTAGTTAGAAGCCTAAGTTAATTACATAGCTGTTGCCAACTGGCTGGCTGTTTATGAGTCTGCTAAATCCATGCATACATCATATAATTAATGCATGTGAAATAATTTTGTTCAGTCTGTGAGCTGGCAATTACTTATCTTCATCCTTACTAAGTAGTAGTCCTATCAAAACCATTTGCTTCATTTTCCTTCTTTTCATAATAAATACCTCCCATTTTCAGTGGCTTGCAACTTTCATTCTGAATGTTTTTTCATTGTTCCTTTTCCTTCATATTGCCTTCATAGTCTACTATATACTGTATATAGCCTTCATAGTGTACTATATAGTCCCTGACCACCCTATCATTTTATCTTATTGACTGTGATGACCAGTTGGCTTGTTGATGAAGTCATGATTGTACTTCAGATGTGAAGGCTTCATAACATTTGTTAATAAACTCATGATGGTAATTTGTGGGTTTAAAACAAAACTGGAGCAAAGTTGGTTTAGGGATTCTGAGAAACAAAGCAAGATCAGGAAGAAACAGAAGCTACATGAACAACAGAAAAATAATACATGGTATTGTGAAGGGGTTGCGGATTTATCCGTTTTGACAGCTCTGAATATTATGCTCTAAATAACTATTATAAAATGCTGTCTTCATTAAATTGGGTTGGGAAAATCCAACTAAATACAAAGTCCTTACTTTGAGGCATGACATTGTTTGGAGTGCTTTTCTCTCCTTTCAGTGTTTATTTTATTATGAAACATTTAAGCCACTTTGAACATATGGATGGTGGGAATCATCTCCAACCAGGCGGGGAGGAGGACTCAAGTGGGGAATTAGCCTTGAATTGTTGTGTATCCACAAAAGATCCAGGACTGACCCTCCCTTCCCAAGTTCTATGGAGCCTTATCTATCTATTCCCAAGGGGAAGCAAACAACCTGGGAAGATTCCTGTATTATGGGCAGAAAACAATAAAATAGTCAACTTTGACTCTACACATGAGGATCTGGTCATTTGTGCCTGACAATACCCATGTAGAGGTAACCTAAGCAAACATGTGTGGGTCTTAGCATTTTTGATGGACATATTTTGTCTTTGCTGTGTAAAAACAGTTCTACATGAATAGGATAACTAAAAACCTGCTAGATAGCAAAATTGCTGAATTTCAGGCTAAATTGCCTCTTCTTTTTTTTTAAACTAAATTTTCTATAAGCCAAAGAATTCTAGATTTAAGGGGCTTCATCGTTTCCAGCTGTTTGACAGAGGGAACCATGCTTTTCAGGACCATGACTCCGGAGCTTTCATTCACTTATTATATTTCAGCTCTGATCCATTCTTCCTGCTTGAGAAAGGACGAGGCGCCACAGAAGTATCCGTTCTACTGTATAAGGAATATTTGCTCTTTTCTAAAGTAAGTTGTTTCTTTTGATGCTCAGAGCTGAGGGGTTTCTCATGAATGAAAAAGAAAACTAGTATGGTAAATTCTGAATTATACTTCTTACTGTTTTCAAAAAGACACTTCTATTTTTAGTTGATTTTGTGTGCCAGTTTTAACTCTGGTTCCCAAATTCCTGTGGAGAAATCTCACTCTATCATTATGGCAAGTAGTTTATTCCTGAAATAATTCTTTTGTTAGGAAAGCAAAATCCTCATTCCCTCTCTTTATTTGCACAAAGTGTTGCTGAATTTTTAGTGTAATGCTTCAAGATTTTTTTCACTGTGTGGAATTCCCAGTGTAGAGGCAGAGCTTTTGACAAAGAAGAGGATTCTTCAAGACTAAGATCAGGTTTAAACTATGACCTGGGTTGGCCAAACTCAAACTAACAAATACAGGTGGTCCTCAATTTACAACACTTCATTTAGTGACTGTTCGAAGTTAGAACAGCACTGAAAAAAGTGACATGATCATTTTTCACACTTATGACCATTGCAGCATGATCACGTTGGATGCTTGGCAACTTGTTCATATTTATGACAGTTACAGAGCCCAGGGTCATATGATCACCTTTTGCAACCTTCTGACAAGCAAATTTAATGGGGAAACCACTTAACAACCATGTTGCTAATTTAACAACTGCAGTGATTCACTTAACAAATGTGGCCTAATAAATCATAAAATGGACAAAACTCACTTAGCAAATTTCTCACTTAACAACATAAATTTTGGGTTCAATTGTGGTTGTAAATGGAGGACTGCCTATACAGAGAACTGGGTTTGCAGTTTAGAAAGAAAACATTTCCCAAATTCTTTCAGTAATTTAAATATAATTCTAAGAAGATACAAAACCCAGTGATAAACAGCATGTCAAAAGTGCATGGTTATCTCATACAGATTGTCAAATATTCCTAATTTCAAACTACTCCAAAATGTTCATCATCCCTGTGAAAGAAGAAAGACAACTTTACTTAATGCTCCAAAGAAGCCCTTTGATTGCTTGCAAGATATGCTGAGTTGGAGAAAGCAGCCAAAGGCCATCAATGCCTTTTAGTCATTTATACTAGAGCTGATAGATACATGTTGACTGGTTCTCTATCCTTTCTCTATAGATCATTAAGAATGATTTCAGTCTCCCTGCATGTTCAGACTCCATCACAGTTTCTGTGGCTACTTTGTCAATAAGATTCAGCAAAGTGTACTAGCTTGGCTATAACGCCCCTACCTTATTAGCAAAATATTTCAAAATATTCCATTAGTGGCAGCTAGGGATTTAGGAAAGTTTTGTCCTTTAATTTCCTTAGCAAATTATCACTCACCTCAGAGAGATGTCATTTAGAACATATAGATATATGTTGTGACTCCGAGATTTGAACCTGGTCAGTCAGCAGATGTGGGTTTGAGCGATGAAGAAGATCTGGCACTGAGATTCGAGCCTGCATTATTAAGTGACTTAGAGGGGAGTCAAGTAGAGGGAGAGGAGTTGGATCTGAGATATGAGCCTGATTTATTGGAGGTTTCAGAGTCTACTCTCTCCCCTGAATCTACTTCCCTGATTACACCTCAGGTGTTAACTGTTAATCAGGAAAGTGTGTCAGAGGCTTCAAGCGGTGAGGAAACTGCCGGATGCTGGCTGGATGCCAGGACTAGGAGAAGATTGAGACGTCAATCTCAATTAGAAAAGAGATGTCCAGCAAAGGATTAATTAATGAGACTGACACGCCCCCTCTCAGAGGATATAAGGGAGCGTACGAGTTCGTAATCTTTGCTGGAAACAAAGTGGATTTTGCCTTGGAAGAAGTGCGTCTGACTACAGCGTTGTGATTTACGAACTATACAGAATTGCCAGACAGATTCTAGGAGGATTGCCAAAGGACTGTGAAAACAGAGCAATTGAATCTTCTGTCTCTGGTTTTGTTTGCGTAAAGTATTTTAAACTCTGTAACTTGAGATTCTCACCTGTGGATACAGGTGGGACAGAACAGATATAGATGGATAGATGGAGAAAGGTATTGTTCTTGGAGAAACACAATAATCTCCAAAATGGGATTATTAGACTAAAGAAAAGTTTTTTAAAAAGTCAACTTGAAAAAACATATGACAAGCAGGCCCCTTTATGTGCAAGTCATTTACATTTATGAAGATCTTTGTTAATTCATTTTAAAAACCTTTTTTGGAAAATATTATTGTAATATTGCTGTACAAAAATATTATCTAAAACTACCATTCAGGACTGAGTGAACTACAAATTGAAAGGTGAAATCCTATCCTTACCTACCTGACATAAAATCCATTTAGCTGTTTAAGATTTTTAAAATGTTTAGGGACAATTTATTATAAATATATAAATTCGTATATATTTCATGCATCACACATAATTACCCTGTTTAACACGCATCATCACTTAGTTACTTACCATAAGATCTATACACTTTTCAGATTGTTTTAAAAATATTTGATGTGATTAATACAATCTTGCAGACGCAGAGTAGCAATAGTTGTTGGCAAGAGCACAACTTTGACAATGTGAAATGAGCAGCATATAAATAGACAGATGATAGATAGATGATAGACAAATAAATAGAGATAGATAGATGAGAGAGAGATGAGACAGACAGACAGATTTTCATTCTTAGGTCCATTGTGGCATCTGCAGTGTTGCTTCTGTTAAAACCACCATCACCAGCCAGGGAGGGGCCAGTTATGAGAGCTGCCAACTGAATCCCTCACATACTTCTAGCTTTTCCTCTTCTTTCAAGGCAAATTACAGAAAATAAGCCTATTGTTCTCCTGCAAAGAAATGTTTCTTATTTACTTAAATCAGGAAAATTCCTGAAGGTAATGCAGAGAAAAAACAGAACTCCACCAAATAAAGGACACCGTTATGGTCCATAAAAGGTTGGTGATGAAGGTGGGGGGCGTTTTAAGGATGGCCTGTTGGTAATCTTCTTTTTATTTTCATCTGTATAATACACAGATAGAGCTGCAATCCTCTGGGCAATCCTCTCCATAGTGATTAAACATTAAATCAGGCTTTCTCAACCAAGTTCCAACCAAATTTGCTCGGCTAAAACCATAAGACTGTTTAGCTAGTATACTTATTAGCTTGAAACCTGAGAATTATTGGAGTTGTAGTAGTCCAGGACCATCAGAAGTTTGAAATTTTGGGAAGGCCATCATAAAGAACTTGTAGATGAGCAAAACAAATAATAAATTCTAAAATAAGTTGTTTGACTACCGTACTGCTCTTTTATACCACCTAATGTTTGATGGCCTGTCAAAGAACAAAATTCTGACCTGACCTGTCTAAGGGCAACTTCCAGTTTAAGGATAAAGAAGCATATTAAGAAGGCAGGAGGTTAAAGTAACCCATCAACAGCTAATTTTTGTCAGGGGAAAGCATGGCTGAGACCATACATTGGTTATGCTCATGAGATCAGTGGGCCCATCCCATGTTTATATAAAGACATCACCGTTGTATCATTTTTATGCAGCACACAGAAAAATGTAAAAATCCTATAAAGAATCTTAATCTTCGTGTGGAACCATAATGTTGAAATCCACTCCTCACCCAATATAGCAGCTATGCTATGCTGGCTGAGGAATTCTGGGAGTTGAAGTCTTAAAGTTGCCAAGTTTTGAGACCTCTGCAATATAGGAATCCAAATTGAAGCATCTACAACAGATGGTTATGCAATCTTTATTTGGATTCAGGCAGTGAAGGAGAGCCCAGACACCTTTCTGGGTCTAGTGCCAAGCTTTTTTATTGCTAGGAAATGCATTCTGACATTCAACTGGAATCTGCCCTCCTGTAACTTAACTCTATTACCCTGTGCCTTCTCTTTGGGATGACAGAGAACAAGTCTTCTGAGATATGTGGCTGCATTATGATTTGTGCTTTTCGAGGCACTTCAGCAGTGAGTAAGAAGAAGCCAAGAGCAATAAACACAATCCTGTGAGGTCCTCCATTCTCACACAGCTGGAGACCTTGAATCCTTGGAAAACTGTAAGTGTCTCTTCAGTTTTGCTCAGTTTGGGGTCTAAGTGATCATGAAGTAATTACTCTGAGACGGCTAACAAAGTGTGTTTGCAGCATCATCTAGAAGTAAAAGACAATTCTGTAATTGTCTATAGTAAGCAATTATTACAGACAATTCTATAATAAATAGTAATTTTTAGTTAATCGAACTTTCTATTATCACATGCTGCCTTAATTGCAAAGTAGACCAAGTGCAAAAGTAGAGTTTTTCCTTTATTTAGAAAAAAAGCCAGAGGCACAGTATTGCATATATGAAAGTGAGTCAAATGTTGCCCATTGCCTATTTCTAAACTTGTATTAAAAAGTGGGGAAAGACCTATAAAAAGACATGTAAATCAGATTTTTGGTTTGTTTCTTTTTAAAACTCAGTAGTAATCCTAATCCTAGGAACTGATCACAGATTGCCCAGACGTTTATTTCCCTGTCATCGAACCCAAACAGCTCATTGCTTAACCAGATAAATTAAGCCAAAATCAGCCAGAAGAAGACATTAAAATTGGCCCACTTCCCAACATCTGGCAGAATAGTCTGCTTGCCTCTCAGGGACTCCTGCTACATGGTTTCTGATAATCAGACATCTGGTTTCCAAATAAGAAATGGAAAGCAAAGCCCTTTATGTAGCATAGCAGAGAAAAACAAAGGGAGAGGGTTGTTTTGTTTTAGTCATTTCTGTTGTTAATTGTCTCCCTGTAATATTAGTTGCACTGACTTAGAAACAGACCACAAAGAGGCTAAGGGGTGGACTACATCTGGGTGTCAGCATTCCATCATGCCCAAAGGTGAAGGAAGATAACAAAAGCAATTCAGCAGCATTCAAACCAGAAGAATGGTCTAGATATTCGATTATATATAATCTGAAGGAGGTATCTCAAATTAGGTCAAATTCCTTATTTTTGAAGCTACTGTTTCCCAATAACACAGCTCTGGGATTCTCTCCCACTGTGAAATCCATTTAAAATCCAATTAATTGTAACCAGGATAATTTACCATGGAACGTGTGATTCTCTAATGAAACTCAGTTGATTGATTTTGCAGAATATCTTCTGCTATAAGGAAGGATTGTACTGTAACATATGGTCTGCTGCCTTTAAAAATGTGGCAACACTCACTTTTCACAAAAAAAGCCAATACAAAGAAATCCCAAGTCTCCAAAAAGATGTGAGATTTCTTTATGTTGGCATTTTTGTCCTGTCACCAGGCACACTGACACATTCCCTGCAGCTACAGCAAAACACTGTTCTGCTAACTGTTGTTTGAGAACCAGTCTGCATGATGCAGGCTTCCTCTTGTCCCCACCCATAGTTGAGGCCAGTTAACTTTGGGTTTTTCTCATTGTTGGAGAAGTAGTATTTTCCATCCTCTCCTAACCCAAGCCTTACTATATAATGGTGATGTGGCAGGGGCTGGCATTTGTTCAGTTCCCAGTGGCTATCTTCAGCTGCTGTGGAAATAAATCCTCTTCTGCAATTGCTGCCAACTACTCTCTGTGGCTATATAGTGCTGCTGCTTTGACAGGTCAGACGAGAAGGAGGAGAAAGAGGAAGAGGAAGAGGAGCAGCAGCAGCAGGACTGACAGACTAAGACCTGCCCAGAAGACCCATAAAGAAACCAGTGGCCCAGCTCATAGTTTGTCCTGACAGAACCCCACAACCTGTCACTTGTTTTTCCATGAATCTGAAACAGTGGTCCTTTTCCATTTTCTTTAGGTACTGCTGGTAGACTAGGCCTGGGACCAAGACCTCTATGGTAGATTTCACCAAGATTGCTAAAGCAGCACTTGATTTAAAAATTCTGATCAATGGCTACATTTGCCAGTCTAGCTCTGGCACACGGGCACATAGACTTCTAGTGGTACAAGGGATTAATCAATTGTGGCCACTTTCTAACACCAGGGCTGGGGAACTATAGCCCCATTATGATATCTGGACTTTAACTCCCAGAATTCCTGAGCCAACCATGCTCAGGAATTCTGGGAGTTGAAGTCCATAGGTTATAAAGGGACCATAGTTCCTCAGCCCTGTTCTAACCCAATGTTTTTCAAACTTGGTGACTTTAAGATGTGTGATCTGGCATTTCCATAATTCCCCAACCAGTCTGCTGGGAGTTCACACTTCTTAAAGTTGCCAAGTTTGAAAAACACTGTTCTATCCTAGGAGGAGTCTCTAGAATTTTCGTTTGTTACAGGTTCCTGTTACAATTAAGGACAAGAATAATTGTCACAGAAATCTTTGGTTGAAGAAACATATGTTTACAATTTTATGTCAAGCACTACTTTTTTAGCACAAACATAAGCTATATTTTTAAATGCCTTTGGGCATTTAAAGGACCAGGGAATACAATTTTGGTTGTGCCCCTTTATAACAGGAAGACAATCCATTACACTGCAAACTAAGCTTTATTTTATCAAGCCTGAGGCTGAAGTATACATTCACCTAACTGGAAATGTTCATAATGATTGTCTGCCTAACAAAGCAAGTATACAGGTGAAACTCAAAAAATTAGAATATCATGCAAAAGTTCATTTATTTTAGTAATGCAACTTAAAAGGTGAAACTAATGTATGAGATAGACTCATTACATGCAAAGCAAGATAGTTCAAGCCGTGATGTGTCATAATTGAGATGATTATGGCTTACAGCTCATGAAAACCCCAAATCCACAATCTCAGAAAATTAGAATATTGTGAAAAGGTTCAATATTCTAGGCTCAAAGTGTCCCACTCTTATCAGCTAATGAAGCCATAACACCTGCAAAGGGTTCCTGAGCCTTTAAATGGTCTCTCAGTCTGGTTCAGTAGGAAGCACAATCATGGGAAAGACTGCTGACCTGATAGTTATGCAGAAAACCATAACTGACACCCTCCATAAGGAGGGAAAGCCTCAAAAGGTAATTGCAAAAGAATTTGGATGTTCCCAAAGTGCTGTATCAAAGCACATTAATAGAAAGTTATGTGGAAGGGAAAAGTGTGGAAGAAAAAGGTGAACAAGCAGCAGGGATGACCGCAGCCTGGAGAGGATTGTCAGGAAAAGGCCATTCAAAAGTGTTGGGGATTTTCACAAGGAGTGGACTGAGGCTGGAGTCAGTGCATCAAGAGCCACCACACACAGACGGATCCTGGACATGGGCTTCAAATGTTGTATTCCTCCTGTCAAGCCGCTTCTGAACAACAAACAATGTCAGAAACGTCTTACCTGGGCTAAAGAAAAACAGAACTGGTCTGTTGCTCAGTGGTCCAAAGTCCTCTTTTCTGATGAGAGCAACTTTTGCATCTCATTTGGAAACCAAGGACCCAGAGTCTGGAGGAAGAATGGAGAGGCACACACTGCAAGGATGCTTCAAGTCCAGTGTGAAGTTTCCACAGTCTGTGTTGATTTGGGGAGCCATGTCATCTGCTGGTGTTGGTCCACTGTGCTTCATTAAGTCCAGGGTCAATGCAGCCGTCTACCAGCAGATTTTGGAGCACTTCATGCTTCCTTCTGCAGACAAGCTTTATGGGGATGCTGACTTCATTTTCCAGCAGGACTTGGCACCTGCCCACACTTCCAAAAGCTCCAAAACCTGGTTCAATGACCATGGGATTACTGTGCTTGATTGGCCAGCAAACTCGCCTGACCTGAACCCCATAGAGAATCTATGGGGCATTGCCAAGAGAAAGATGAGAGACATGAGACCGAACAATGCAGAAGAGCTGAAGGCTGCTATTGAAGCATCCTGGTCTTCCATAACACCTCAGCAGTGCCACAGGCTGATAGCTTCCATGCCTCACCGCATTGAGGCAGTAATTGCTGCAAAAGGGGCCCAAACCAAGTACTGAGTACATATGCATGCTTATACAGTACTTTTCAGAGGTCCAATATTGTTCTATGTACAATCCTTGTTTTATTGATTGCATATAATATTCTAATTTTCTGAGATTGTGAATTTGGGGTTTTCATGAGCTGTAAACCATAATCATCACAATTATGACAAATTCACGGCTTGAACTATTTTGCTTTGCATGTAATGAGTCTATCTCATATATTATTTTCACCTTTTAAGTTGCATTACTGAAATAAATGAACTTTTGCATGACATTCTAATTTTTCGAGTTTCACCTGTAACTGTGTCAGTAGAAGAGAATATACAGTGTATTCAAAAAATCCACTTTTGTCAATTTTGTTATATTGCAACCTGATTCTACAGTTGTTGACATTCATTTTTTTCCTCATTAATCTACATTCAGTACCCCAAAATGACAAAGTGAAAATTTCACAGTACATGGACAGACTTAACTATGGAGGAAGCTGGGAAGCTTGGCACTCAGACAAATCAGCGTCAATAGGCACATAGAGATATATCACATTGATTTCAACACCCAGATAAACAGGGGCTAAAACCAGGGGCAACATCAGAAAGCAATCAAACAATAAACAACAGCCCAGAGGTGGTATTCAGCAGGTTCTGACCAGTTCTGGAGAACTGGTAGTAGAAATTTTGAGTAGTTCGGAGAACCAGCAAATACCTCCTCTGACTGGAAATTCTACAGTCTCCTTCCCCTGTCATGGCCACCAAGCCACACCCACAGAACCAGTAGTAAAAAAAATTGAATCCCACCACTGTTCTGACCAGTTCTGGAAAACCGGTAGTGGAAATTTTGAGTAGTTTGGAGAACTGGCAAATACCACCTCTGACTGGCCCCATCTATTCTCTGCCTCCCAAATCCCAGCTGATCGGCTGGGTCTTCTTTTGTTGCCCTGCGCAGGAGAACGGAGCTGGAAAGCAGATTAGTGGGGTGGGGTGGGAATGGGGATTTTATAGTATCCTTCCCCTGCCATGCCCACAGAACTAGTAGCAAAAGAATTTGAATCCCACCACTGCAACAGCCTAATGGAAAAACTACCAAGAGAAAATACCTGCCTCCCAACATTGTCAGGGCAAACTATTGTATATAAATAGAGAACAAACCCCATTTTTTTTCTGGCACTGAAAATGTAACTTAGCTGGGTAATGAAAAATCAGCGTGAAAACAACAAAGCTCAGAGAACACCAAGAACTCCTCTTAATTTTTCTGAAAGTTTGTTTTAGTGATTCTATTCAGTGCAAATAATATACAATAGTATCCTGAGCATCAGGGATTCAGGCAAATGTAGGGACTTGGATCATTTGATAGCCATTGTCCTTTATGTTTTAGGATTCTCACCTATGGGACACTCTTAACTGTATTTACCATTAACTGCATCAAATCTATTTTGTGAAATTCAAACAGGAACAAAAAGGAAGAAACTTGGCAAGCAATTTTCCTTTGCTATAAGGAGAAGCAAGAAAACAAATCTCTAGAACAGAAAGGAACAATTCAAATAGCCCTGAAATCTGTTTCAGTTGGTACGTATTTCCTGAGGACCCTTCGATAAAGAACAAAGGAATACTGGGCCAAATTCTGGTCATAGTTTTCGAACTGGGGATTACTCCAGATTTGTTTAATTGTTCATTTCTCTTTGTGGAATTATGATCTTCACTTGTCACAGGCAGCGACATATGGTTTTAACAAGAGTTAGCAAAGTAGTTATTTACAAATACACTGATCTTCCTCCAGTTCAGAATTATCTCTGTTCCATATTGTAAATACAGCGCCCTCTGCTGCCAACTAAAGGACACATACTAGTGGTCTGCACAGATCACAAAGCTGTCAGCAGCCATCTCATCTTGTAGAAGCTGATAATTAAATTATGAGCTGGCTATAAAGGAGTAATTTTTTATTTGGTCACCCTGAATAAACTCACTCGTTGAAAACTTCCTCCGTTTGGTCCATTTTAAGTGATTTAAATTACAATTTTTGTAAGTCTGAGTTGCAGCAGATGTATTCCAACAAATCTTTAAAGAGTACAAGGAAAATTAATCCATTTGATTATCATTTGAGGTATTTTTTCAACTTTATAACTCTTCACTGAATGCTGAATGGCCATCTATCAAAGATATGGTAATTCATCTTCCATAGCAAATAGACATTGAGCAAGGGTTAGAATCAATAACCTTCAGCTTGCTTTCCAGTTCTACATTATTCTTTTGCTAGTACGGTTAGAGTTGCATAAGAAGTGCATGCCCACAAACGAACATATAGAGCAGGGGTGTCCAACCTTGGCAACTTTAAGACTTGTGGACTTCAACTCCCAGCCAGCTTTGCTGGCTGAGGAATTCTAAGAGTTGAAGTCCACAAGTCTTAAAGTTGCCAAGGTTGGACACCCCTGATATAGAGTCTTGAGAAAATAAAATGTTTATCACAAAACATAATGTAGCTGAAGTATTACATCAGGTGTGGAGCAGTAGGAAATCAGGAAAAGAGCTTCTCCTCTTGCTATAGCATTAATATTTGGTTGTTCATGAGATCAGTGTTACTATCACAATGTCAACAGGGAATTAAAGTTGTGCCTATCATACACAATAATAACTGCAACATCACTTATCTCCCAACCCATAATAATTATCATCTTAAGCACCAGGCAGATACAATGTCTGATGTAAATAGTGATGACACGAACTTTTCCTATGTTTCAGTCATTTGTCAAATGCATCTTTTTAAAGGTTTACATTTGAAGATTGTCTTTCTACTGAATAAACTCATGTCCTAGAATGCTGTCTAGAAAGACATGATTTTAAAAACAACTGAGCTAGTTCTCTTCACAATTCCCAAAATAGGCAGAAGTACTTGTTGAATCAGAGCAGTGTTTCACAACCTCGCCAATTTTACGATGTGTAGAGTTCAACTCCTAGAATTTTGGGAGTTGAAGTCCACATAAGTCACTAGGGTTCTCACTGAATTAGAGAAACGGGATCATGTGGCCTAAAAGCTAGGCCAGCCCCACCTAAAATATGAATTGACAGCAGTGCATGAAATAAACTAATTTCAGGCTTTGATTTAATGTCCAAATTGCCTTCAGCTCAACAAAAAAGTACGCCCACTGCCAATCACTAAGGCAGATAAAAAGCAATACCAGTTCCTAATTTCTACTTTTTTGGGAAAGTGATCATAGCAGGGATAGGACAATTTACTATTCTCCTATGACGATCTTATCCTGAACTATATCTCCACCCCCACCCCATGCACTCACAGGAGACTGGCCATTATCAGGCGTCATTAAAGAGCAATTAGATGGAAATTAAGCTGAGAACAAGTATTGATTAGCTCATTAAGGATGGGGAGCCGACTCTGTCGATAGGAATTACCAGCCCTAACCCCATTATCTGCAAGGTTAAAGTCTGCGGTTGGGGCCTCCTCATTAAATATCCTTGAGATTAATCGATTCCTGTTCCTCCCCTGCCTTGCCCATGGCTCATTCTATAATTGCTCAGAAATGTTGCAATGGCTCCCTGTTTTCTTCCTATTGGGTAGTTAAACCAGGATTGGACTGAGCAAGAAACTAGAAGCATCATTGTGGGTTTTATATCTGCTATGGGAAGAAATTCTGTAAGCTGCCACTGGGAATGTTTTCAGCTAGCTTGGATTCTGACTGAGCCCTGGTTTGAAGTTACACAGGACGACAGATGCCCTAGTATTCCAGCACTGCCAACTGACCAAATTAATATATGTTTCAATTTAATCCATAAATTTGATGCATACTTATGATAGAAATACAGTTCTGCTCCTATTATACCTGAGTTAAACAAAACTTACATTTTTGCTGTGATTGTATTTTATGGAATTTTGTACCTACAGTAAAGTTGAAAGTTGATATACATTTTTAAAAGCACCTTTTAAAATCTTTAGCTCAGACTAGTTGTTGTGGATTTTATGCATTTGGACTAGGAAAACATTTGTACAAAAATTACATTCAATAATAAATACACTAGCTCCAATATTGTTTTGAAAGTGCATGTGTAAACTTTCTACAGTTTGCTGCATTAGATATTAACATAAGGCAATCTCTTGCAGACTGGTGGCCTTCTAATATTTCAATCTAGGTTGAAAATGGGCAATTTTCTTAAAACCAGATTTTGAGGGGTGTGGGGATGGAGGTTACAAGGACACTTATGGTAGATCTTTTCACCTCCCAGATCTGGAAGGGAAACAACTACTCAAGTCATGATGTCCCTGGAGTGCATGGAGCCAAATTTGGGGGATCTTGGGGCTTAAGGAGAAAAATATTATATCAAACATGGCAAACCCATGCAAATCACCTGATCTGGGGTAGAAATGAGGTTTTAGCATTTGAATGCTTTAAACATGAAGTACCCCTAAAAGCCCTATGGGACTGGATGATGCTTTTTAAGAGTTACCAATAACAATATTTATGGAAAGCTACCAAAAAACACAAAAGGGGAACTAGTTCAAGTGCAGCCCAGAGAGACTATAGACTACCTGCCTATGAGCTATCTACTCTGTCCACATCTATAAGAGCCATTGCAAATCAACACAGATGGAGGGAACTGACTGGGGAAAGGCTATGTGAATGTTCTCATAAAAAGTGCTGAAGATGCTGTCCTCTGGCTTATTCTTCTAGTAATTATTTTATATAAATCTTTGTTTTTCATTTCCATTTCCTTGTTGTTGCTGATTTTTTATTTTCCTCTTTTTATAAAACTTTCCTGTGGGATGGGGGATGCATACATGGCAATGATTTAAGATGAACCACTGATCGAAAGTTCCATCTTGTATGACCATCTTAGTAGGACTGTTTCTATAGGACCTTCTGAAGATCATTCTACATCAACTCTCCTTTCTGTTGCATGGAGCCTAGATCTAGGGATTCAGAAACATCTATTGCAATATTGATGGCACAGGTTGTTTGGGTCGAAGGATGCATTTCTCTTCAGAGTAGAAATGCCAAGTGCTGAGACAAAAGAAATGAGTTTGAATTAGGTTAGGATTGGGGTTCAGGACAAAAATTACATTTGATTTCAATTTACATACAATTAAAATCGATGTAAACTAATTATTATATTGTAATAAAAACCAGTGAGATGGGTGGCATAGATAAAAATAAATAAAATTTATTTGTCAAATGTATATCCTGCCACAATAAAACCAAATTATATAATAAATACTTTAAAACTTCCAGAAAACAATACTTGGCATCAGACACCAAAAACCTCCAGAACAGCCGTTTTCAACTTGTTCCAGAACCTAGATAAACTGAAGGCTATTGAATCTCCAGCAAGAAGCCATTCCAAAAAAACAACACAAAAAACAAAACAGGCCACATGGAAAAACAGTACTTTCAGGCTTCAGCCCCACTAATTTCTAGAAAATGGGAGACAACTAGCTGCCTCTCCCAAGACATTTAAAATGATTGGGCCAACTCTACTGGGAAGTAGTTCCGCAGATAACCTGTCACCAAATCTTGTGAAATGTAATTATCTCATTTATTTTTAAATGATTACTCAGCATCCACTTGTGGACACGCTCTGGGGATTATATCCAGAGCTCAGTGGCACTGTAGTGCACAGATCTTGCAATAATGTAGAATAGTAGTATTTCTACTACTATCTACAATGGCATTAAAGTATATCATCATTATTCCTCTGTGTCTCTACAGTCTTTTCCAAAATGAAAGCTTGGTAGTGTATCAGTTATCCATCTATCTTACTGTTCATAGAAGTCTTCACACATCTCCAGAGAATTTATTTCCTTCCTGGTTTTATTTTTTATCTTCAATATTCATCTCCCATAAATTGGCAACTGCTTTTGCCTTTACCAAATGGATTCTAGCTTGTCGAATTGGCATCCCCTGCCTGTCTTGGAAGGAACAGGCCTCTATGCCAACCACATTTCTGCCAGTTGCAAGTTGCCTTTCCCAGTATTCATTTATCCTGTCCTGAAGCGACGCAACTATTAATCTTGGTTGACATTTTCCAAAATACTAATTGAGAAGAAAAAGAGCAAACAATCCAGCCCTAAAGGTAAAATAATGCCCCACTTAATGGCCTGCTTAATCATAACCAAGCACCAGGGATCCCTGGGGAAGGCAAAGAGAAAGGTAATAGATGACAGCAGGTGAGAACAAGAACCCACTAATGAGGCTAGAAGAGGAAAAGAAAAAATGGTTATACGTGTATTGGGGGACAGGTAGTGGTATGACTGCTAAGGAACTAATATCACAACCACCATAGATGAAGTTAGATGAGTTGCATACAAGAAGAAATTAGGGAGGGTTCCTACAGCTTCTAAACATTTCTCTCCAAAACAAAGAAATACTTTGAGGTTTTTGTTTTCGTTGCCATGTATGTTGAAAGCCAGGAAAGTCTGCAGAATAATAAACAAATAAACAAACAAACTTTTGAGGTTTAAGGAACATTGTCTTCAAATATCTTATCTTACAAGGAAAAGATGTGTGCCTGCATTGTCTCATCTAACTTCAGCCATGGTGATTTGAAGTAGAGAAAAAATGG